AACTGCTAATTTAGCTGATTGTTTTGTTAACCTTGTAAAATTAGGTGTTACAATTAAAAAAATTCCTACTAACAATCCATTTAAAAAATCTGCAATTAATATTTTTAATAAATGATATGCAAACTTTGATTTAAATATCTATATATTAGCTTATTATTTACATCTTAAATATCATGGAAGTGGTTTAAAGACTGAAACATTTTTTAATATTTGTAATCTTGTACTAGAACTTTATTCAAACCAATTTCATGATGAAGCAGATTGTAATGAATTAATGAATCAGCTTTGTCGATATAAAGCAAAAGAATCACCATTTGATTTTCCATATGATATTCATCTAACTCCTAAATTATGATGGACCATAATTGAAGATAACTATTTACATTTGCAAGAAGTTGCAAAAATGATTTTTTCAATTATGCCCTCTCAAGCCTCTTGTGAATGCAATTTTTCAATTTTAAAATGGTTTTATGGTGACAAAAGAACTCAACTTCAAACTGAAAAATTAGAAACTATGGCAAAAGTTCATTCATGGTATCTTTCAAATTTGACTAAAGAACTTTAGTATTATGATAAAACTCTTTCAATAGAAGACATTTATAACAATGCTCTGGAACAAATGACTTTTGCTAATTGGGAGGATTTCTGTCAACCAATTGATAGAAATGAAAATATTAATCTAGAAGAATTTCAATTACAAGCTAATGAACAATTAAAAATCGAAGAATTGATTGATTTGACTAATCCTATTTTTACAGAACATAAAAATACTAAAAATATAAGCAATAATAATAACAATATTAAAGGTCGTGGAAATTTGAATTTTAATATTAATAATATTATAAATAAATTTATGGGCACAACTAACGAATCAAATATATAAAAAACACATTCTTTTATTGCCAAATTATCATCTTTTCTATTTTAATTCAATTCCCTTTTTTTTTTTTCTTTCGATTTGATTTTTACTTTGATTCAATTTCTGGTTTTTTTTTTTCTGATTTGATTCTCATCTTGATTCAATTTCTGGTTTTTTTTTTTCTCTAATTTGATTCTCAATCCTTGTTTTTTTTTCTGTATTAATTTTTTCTTATCATTATATCTAAATTGTTGCATTAATTCAAATTATAATGATAATTGATATTGCATAAAAAATTATTAGCTTTTCATTATAAATTTCTAAAAACCTTCAATTAGATATATTCTTACTCGCAGTTTTTTTGAATTCATTGCAAGTCTAAGTTATAACTAGTTAGTATTATATAATTT